TTTAGTTCAAAATATTTTCTAATTTCCATTATTCTTAGACGCATGGGTATATAGAAGTACATTTCCTAAATTATAAACATATGAGGATTTTTCTTTTTCTTTCTTTCTTTTTTTTTTTTTTTGCGGGACGCGGGCCTCTCACAGTTGTAGCCTCTCCCGTTGCGGAGCACAGGCTCCGGACGCGCAGGCTCAGAGGCCATGGCTCACGGGCCCAGCTGCTTCGTGGCATGTGGGATCTTCTTTTTTTTTTTTTTTTTTTTTGCGGTACGCGGGCCTCTCACAGTTGTAGCCTCTCCCGTTGCGGAGCACAGGCTCCGGACGCGCAGGCTCAGAGGCCATGGCTCACGGGCCCAGCTGCTTCGTGGCATGTGGGATCTTCCCGGACCAGGGCACGAACCCGCGTCCCCTGTATCAGCAGGCGGACTCTCAACCACTACGCCACCAGGGAAGCCCGAGGATTTTTCTAGTTATACTTTATTATTTATTTCTAATTTAATTGTATTGTGGTCATCAGAGAATATACTGTGGTTTCAGTCCTTGAATTGGTTGAGATGTGCTTTGTGGTCAACTTTTGTAAATGTATGTGTGCAGTAAATGAGTCTGTGGTTCTTAGATACAGTTTTCTACATGTATTTTAATTCCAGTTTCTTCATCACAATGTGCAGATCCTGTATATCTGCCCTCATTTGTGTTGTTCTACCAGTTAGTGAAAGATGCAGTAAAATATATACTATATTTTATACAAATATATACTATGTATTTATATATACTAAATATACTATAAATATATAAATTAATATGTAAACTATTTATATACTACAATTACTAGTCCTATTTTGATTATAAATTTATCTCAAGGTTTTTTCAATTTTTGACTTACATATTTTGAGACTGTGTTATTAGGTAACAAGATTTACACTTGCTGTTTATCTCCCTGCTGTTTTATCTCATAAAGTTTTTCGATTAAATGTTACTGTGTAGGGACTTCCGTGGTGGCACAGTGGTTAAGAATCCACCTGCCAATGCAAGGGACATGGGTTCGATCCCTGGTCCAGGAAGATCCCACATACCCCGGAGCAATTAAGCCCATACGCCACAACTACTGAAGCCTGTGTGCCACAACTACTGAAGCCTGTACACCTAGAGCCCGTGCTCTGCAACAAGAGAAGCCACTGTAGTGAGAAGCCCGCACACCACAACGAAGAGTAGCCGCTGCTCATGGCAACTAGAGAAAGCCTGCGCGCAGCAACAGAGACCCAATACAGCCAAAGATAATTTTTAAAAATGTTAAAATATTACTATATAAGCAAAATATGAATATATTTAATATAGTTTTTACTTTATTATTATTTTTCAATATTTGTTTTTAGTTCGGCTGCGCTGGGTGTTTGTTGCGGCATGCGGGCTTCTTAGTTGCAGCATGCAGGATCTAGTTCCCTGACCAGGGATCGAACCCGGGCCCCCTCCCTGCATTGGGAGTGTGGAGTCTTACCCACTGTACCACCAGGGAAGTCCCTTTACTTTATTATTTAAATATCTTTTTCTATCCTTTTGCTACTTTAACATCTTTTTTTTTGTTAATTTTTATTGAAATATAGTTGATCTACAATGTTGTGTTAGTTTCAAGTATACAGCAGAGTGATTCAGTTATACATATATACATATACTCATTCTTTTTCAGATATTTTTCCATATATGGGAAAGATTACAGAATATTTAGTAGAGTTCTCTGTGCTATACAGCAGGTTCTTGTTGGTTATCTATTTACATACAGTAGTGTGTGTAAATTAATCCCAAGCTCCTAATTTATCCCTCCCCCCCAACCCCCTGCCCTGCCTTTCCCCTTTGGGAACCATAAGTTTGTTTTCTAAGTCTGTGAGTCTGCTTCTGTTTTGTAAATTAGTTCATTTGTGTCAATTTTTAGAGTGTACCTGTAAGTGGTATCATATAATAGTTATCTTTCTCTGTCTGACTTAACTTCACTTAGTATGATCATCTCTAAGTTAGTCCATGTTGCTGCAAGTGGCATTATTTCATTCTTTTTTATGGCTGAGTAATATTCCATTGTAGAAATCTACCACTTGATCGATTTATCTGTTGACGGACACTTAGGTTGCTTCTGTATCTTGTCTATTGTAAATAGTGCTGCAGTGAACATTGGGGTGCATGTATCTTTTCAAAGTATGGTTTTCTTCGGATATTTGCCCAGGAGTGGGATTGTTGGATCATATGGTAGCTCTGTTTTTAGTTTTTAAGAAACCTTCATACTGTTCGCAATAGTGGCTGCACCAATGTACATTCCCACCAACAGTGTAGGAGGGCTCCCTTTTCTCCACATCCTCACCAACATTTGTTATTTGTGTTCTTTTTGATGATAGCCATTCTGACAGGTGTGAGGTGATATCTCATTGTGGTTTTGATTTGCATTTTTCTATTTTAACTTCTTTGTGTGAATCACATACATACAAGATATCCATAAAACAAATATACTGTTAGCAAATAATTATGATTCATAGGTCTGTGTTGCCACCACCCAGTTTCTAGCCATATCTTTTTATCCTTTCTGCGTCCTTGTTTAAGGTGTGTGTCTCATAAGTAGCATCTAGATAAAGTTTGTTTTCTGTCTAGTTGAAACCTTCAACTCTAACATTTAGTTCATTTATATTTAATATATGCATTGAAATATTTGGGTTTAAATCTTCCTTCTGTCGTTGTGCTTCCTGTTCTTCCCATGGTGTTTTTCCCCCCTTCCTCACCTCCCTTTACAGGTTTGGAAGTTATACACCTGCTCTTTCTTCTTGCAGAAGTTTCATCAGAAATTACAACATTTATCATTAATGCACCAGAATCTACATTTAATCCATATGTGGGTCTTCTTTTTTGGACAGTACCCAGACTCTGGGAGTCATTGGTCTGCGCCTTCGCCCTGGCTTCTCCTGCTCACATATCATGAGCGAATCTCTTCAAAGTTCTGTGAGACGCTGCTGCTCTGCCCACCTGCACATTGACCATTTTCTTTACTCACCATTCCGCCTTCTTTTAGAGTCTGAAGTTTAGACTTTAGTGGGGGTTTTTGTTTTGTTTTTCTGTCTGAATCATATCCTTGAATTTCCTTTAGAGATATTTTGCAGAAGTCAAACTTTTTAGTTGTCTGCAAATGTCATTTCCTGAATTCTTTTTATTTATTTATCTATCTATCTATCTATCTATTTATTTATTTATGGCTGTGTTGGGTCTTTGTTGCGTGCAGGCTTTCTCTAGTTGCGTCAAGCAGGGGCTACTCTTCATTCCAGTGTGTGGGCTTCTCACTGAGGTGGCTTCTCTTGTTGCGGAGCACGGACTCTAGGCGTGCGGGCTTCAGTAGTTGTGGCTCGCGGGCTCTAGACCGCAGGCTCAGTAGTTGTGGCGCACGGGCCTAGTTGCTCTGCGGCATGTGGGATCTTCCCAGACCAGGGCTTGAACCCGTGTCCCCTGCATTGGCAGGCGGATTTTTAACCACTGCGCCACCAGGAAAGCCCCCATTTCCTGAATTCTTGAAAGATATTTTCACTGCATGTAGAATTCTGGGATAGCAGTTATTATCTTTCAGGGCTTTACAGGTACCTTCCCCTACTACCTTCTGGGTTCCACTGTTTTACTTGGGAAGTTGCTGTTGAAAGGTAATTTTCCCTTCCCTTCTGGATGCTTCTAAGACTTTTTTTCTTTTTTCTTTGGTGTTCTGCAGTTTCACTATTATGTGATCAGGTGTGGCTTTTTTATTTATCTTGCTTGGGATTGTTGGACTTGTCTGTGGATTGGTGTCTTTCTTCAGTTCTGGAATCGCCTCCTCATCTCCTCACATAGTGCCTCTGCCCCATTTTCCTCTCACTTTACCTTCTGTAAATCCACACACATCTGGGCTTTTGCTGTCAGATCCAAGAAATCACTGTCAAATCCAACATCATGAAGATTGTTCCCTACATTTTCTTCTAAGGGTCTTATAGTTTTTACGTTCAGTTCCTTGATCCATTTTGAGTGCATTTTTGTATATGGTGTGAGGCAGGGGTCCAACTTCATTCTTTCACATGTCAGTATCTTGTTTTCCCACACCATTTATTGAAAAGACTGTTCTTTCCACATTGAATGGTTGTGACACCCTTGTTGAAAATCACTTGACTTTATATGTGAGGGTTTACTTCTGGACTGACACGTAATTTCTCAGAGATTAATACTGGATCCATCACACACATATTCATAAATGTCATGGTGCTTTCAGTCACCAGTTCCATTGTTTGGGACAAGATGTATGCAGTGCTGCTGGCCTCACTCAGATGGGAGTCGTGTTGGCTGCTGTTTCACGTTTTCTGAAGCCACACAGTATAAGACATATTTGGGCAAAAGTTTTCTCAAATTATTTATGTGTAAAACTAGTTCACCTGCCACTTCCAGCTAAATTTAGAATGGCTAAGCCATGATGAGCTATTAGTGTTTTTTGTTTTTTTGTTTTTGTTTTTGTTTTTGTTTTTTTTTCTTGCGTTATGCGGGCCTCTCACTGTTGTGGCCTCTCCCATTTGCGGAGCACAGGCTCCGGACGCGCAGGCTCAGCGGCCATGGCTCACGGGCCCAGCCGCTCCGCGGCATGTGGGATCTTCCCGAAACGGGGCACGAACCCGCGTCTCCTGCATCGGCAGGCGGACTCTCAAGCACTGCGCCACCAGGGAAGCCCGCTATTAGTGTTTTTATGTACTCATATTACTATTGAAGTATTAGGTCTTTAACGTCTAGGCCTGCACTTCCCTTCTTCACAACAGGCTTCCTAAACACACTTTTTGTGTTTCATTCTCTCTGTGACCCTCTGCTCTGTGTTGACTTGTTGACAGGTTGTGGCGTTTTTCTCTCACCCCAGCTGTGTGGACAGAGCCACACGCCCTCCGAACAACAACGGCTCTTGCGTGCATGTTCCAGTGTTTCTTCTGTCAGAGAGCCCAGCAGAGCTGCAGCTCCTCCCGTGCCAGCCCTGAGCTGAGCCAGGAGTGCCCAGCGGAGATGGTGAAGATGACAAGGTCCAAAACTTTCCAAGCGTATCTGCCAAACTGCCACCGAACGTACAGTTGTGTCCACTGCAGGGCCCACCTGGCCAATCACGATGAGCTGATCTCCAAGGCAAGTGTCTGGTCAAGAACTCGGTAGGCTGCCCTCAGCCATGATCACTGAGCCTAAGTGTAGACAAATACTGAACCACCCCATGGCCTCCTGGGTTTGCTGGGCCCAGAATGTCTGGAGCCCTGTGGATGGCACTGAGGGAAATTGTGTGTGTGAGTGAGGGCAGCTACATCGTGGTCTTGGCCGAGTGGTGGGTTTTGGGGGCCAGGCCACGGGCCTCTGAAGATCCCACAGTAAGATGAGTCAGTGACTTGTCAGAGCAGTTAAATTCATGTAAAGCCAGAGGACATGGACAGTACAAAGGAAGCCTGGAAAATCTGTGGAAATAGTTTCATAATAAGGGAGTTAAAGAAAGTTTTAAAACTCAGAATGGTTAAGAAGAGAAGAGGCTGCCTTGGGGGCAGTTGGATCTTTCAGCAAAGAGCCTGGGAGGGAAGCTCTGCCAGGGCCGCGGTGCTGTGGGGGCCACGAGCAGCCCCCTGGGGGCGAAGAGGGCAGGACCTGCCTCATTGCCTTGAACTCTTGACTAGCAGCAGTTTGTCCTGTTTATAACCAACCACTTGGGAACATTTAAAACAATCCCTCGGGAGACAGTGATTGTCCTCCCTCCCCGTGCTGTGGGTCACGACCCCCACCCATCCTCTAAGTCTGCCTCCCTGGGCAGGAGCCTTCTGCTCCTTTGAAAACAAAGCCATCAAGAAGTTTCTGGCATCCGTGCTTAGGTCTCTTGTTTCAGGCAGTTAGAAGAACATCTCTGTACTTGTGATAAGAAGGTGACAGGGTCCTTTTTTTGGGGGGGACATACGTGCGGCCTGCAGGATCTTAGTTCCCTGACCAGGGATGGAACCCGTGCCCCGTGTAGTGGAAGTGCAGAGTCCTAACCATTGGACCACCAGGGAAGTCCTGGGTCCATCATCTTAAGGGAAAGCCATCAGATAAGGTGGTGTCTGTGCCATCACTGCTTCTGTGGCCCCTCTGTGCGTCCAGAAGCTTCAGTGGAAGGGCAGCCCCTCAGCACCAGCTTCGGAGGCAGAGCTGCTCCGGGGCCTCCAGATCGGCCGTGTAGCTCAGGCACTGCTCTGGTCACACGGTGGGGGGAGTGGGTTGTTAGTGTCGAAAAGGAATTTGAGGTGCTTCTTTCAAAGGACCCCAAAGCCAGTAGTAAGCTGTTCTTTAAAATAATCAAGCACAGAGGCCCTCTGGGTGGAGCCGCCCCGACGTGGCCTCGCGTTCCAGCTGGTGATGAATGGCGTCACTTCCATCTGACCACGACAAAGCCTTTAACCCCTCTTTCTTCTTTGCAGTCCTTTCAGGGAAGTCAGGGACGAGCCTACCTCTTCAACTCAGTGTGAGTATCGCTGCCTTGGCCTCGCCAGTGCCGCGTCTGCCACCAGGCCCTGCGTGCTGCTTCTGAGAGCCTGCCAGTGCTCGCTGCCGTCGAGGGCTCGGAAAAGCAGATGCTTTTTTCCCAGGCTGGGTGTGGTTTGTTTTCCACTGGGGTAGATCTTGATTTCCACCGAGACAGCAGGACTGTGGGCCCCTCCCCACAGCCTGTCCCATCCTGGATTCTCGGGGGAGGCAAGAAGTTGTTCAAAGGTGGGGGGGGAGTCAGGAAGGACACCCTGTGTCCTGGGAACAGCTGGCGGGGGCGGAACTGTGGGCCCGGGGCCCCATGAGGGTCCCAGCGCCTCCTCCCCACAGGGTGAATGTGGGCTGCGGCCCTGCGGAGGAGCGGGTCCTTCTCACCGGCCTGCATGCCGTGGCGGACATCTACTGTGAGAACTGCAAGACCACACTCGGGTGGAAATACGTGAGTGACCACGGGTCCGCTGTAATAAAGAACACGTTCCCAGTGGAAACAAAACATGCCAGGAAGCAGGATAGGTGCTGCCAGTCAAGGAACACGTTTTAAAACCACATCTTTTAGAGTCCATGGACTGGGGGAGGGAGGGATGGTCACCAGCCAGGTGGGAGGTGGGGGACTGGACATGACCCTGCCGTTGTGCTCACAGCAGACCCCTCAGGGCCCCACCCCCAGGACCCGCCTGTGCCCTGGTCCTGTCCCACACACCACCCACCCCCAGACTCCAGCAACGGGGGGAGGGGGGGCTGTGTTTGAGCCACTGCATCCCTCGCCCCCGAGAAGGGCTTTCCCCTCTCCACCATCTGTGACCCTGAGGACTTCACTCCCCTGTACCTGGAGTCCCGGGAAGGAGGCCTTTGCTTGGCTTCCCTTACCAAACTGCCCTGCACGTGGTCGGTGCTCAGTAACAAACTTGAATCAGTAGTTCCCGACAAGTTTCACCATCACTCTGCGAGTCCAGGCCAGACCTGCCCTGCTTCTGAGGGCTGGTCACCCAGATAGGCACCCCTCCCCTGCCCTGGACCACACGGCACAAGGGGCGTCTGGGGAGATGTGATACTGCAGTTATTTTCTTTGCGAAGTGTAAAATGAAGTTGAAAAACAAAACCGATTCTGTTCTGAAACCTTGTCTCTCTCTTTTCAAGGAACACGCCTTTGAGAGCAGTCAGAAATATAAGGAAGGAAAATTTATCATTGAGCTTGCTCACATGATCAAAGACAATGGTTGGGAGTAAAGTGAAAACTTCCTGTTCTCTTTTGAATACAATTTTGTCAAAGAGACGGTAAAAGTAATGGAAACATAGGCACATCTGATGGCAGTGTTTCTTGAACTCGAGCCTCACAGGCGGCCTCTCCAGGCCAATCCCCTGGGTAAGGCGTCCCTCCGATCTGTGTCTTCTTCAATAACACGGTTATTTCTGAAAAGTTTCAATGACCTTTTTCTAATTTCTCAAGATGTAGAGAAAAGACCTAACCAACTGGTGACTTATCCATCCAATTAACACCTTCTTTAACCAATGCCTTTAAGATAGTTTGGCTGTGCTCTTTCGTGTTTGATAGAAAACCAGACCGAAGCCCCAAAGCCCACAGGGATCTCTTCGGAGAGCCAGCTTCCCCTCTTGTTTGGAGAGAAGGTATGGTAACTTCTCCCCAGTTCGCGGAACAACGTTGGTTATTCTTCTTGCAGATGAGCTGTGAGGGCAGTGCTTACTTAGGAATCTCTCAGAAATCTATGAATCTATGCACCAAGGGTGTTTTTTAGCCTTGTTCAAAAACAGAGGCCACCAGTAATAACATTTTAGATAAGCTATAGAGAAATGTGTCTAATGTAACATGTTTGTTTATTTAAGCCAGTAGCTTCCTTATCTCACAGGCGAGTGAACGAGTCGTTAGCAGAGACGGTCTTGGGCCAGTGTGCAGGCGCAGGCCCAGGCCCATGGGGGCTCCAGCCAGGTCAGGTGCTGGGCGGCTGGTCCATGGAGTTAAGAGTGGAACGTGCTGGACCAAGGGAAATCGGGTTTCCTTTTCTACTCTGATGTACTTGAAGAAAAAGAATTATTTTTTGCATATTTGAAAGAGGCCAGAGCAGGCTAAGCTTCCAAATTTAACATTTGCCAGATAGTTTTAAAATTTTGGAAAAGGTTACGGTTGGAAGACAGGTTTAAACTTTGCAGTGAAGATGTTTGGTTTGCTCAACAGGTCCCTGTGCCTCCCTGGTTCTGTCCTGTGGGCCGACACAGGCAAGGCCCAGCAGCCAGCCTCCTGAGTCCTGCGTTTCTGCCACAGGTTCAAGTTCCGACTCACTGTGCCTATGCACGGAGTGGGCACCACCCACGGGTTTTGGCCGCTTTGCAGAGAATGGAGGCCAAAAGGCATTCCCACAACAGTTTTCGTTTTCAGTGTTCTACCTGGCTCTGGCCAGTGGGCCCAGCCTGCCACTGGGCGCCTGGGGGCCATCAGTGTGGTCACCGGGGCATGAGACTCCTGGGACCCCAGTGCCGAGGGTCAGAGAGAAGGCTGAGGGAGGGGGGAAGAGAGGAGGGCACAGGCCGGCTCCCAAACTCCTTCAGACGAGGTTAGTCCTATGGCCACAAGCGTGAGCTGGCTGGGGACAGAGAGGGACTGGCTGCCAGTTGGTGGGTGGCCCTCCCCTGACCCCCAGCCACTCACCTGGGCTTCCCTTTGACACCATCTCTGCCTGGACCTGCAGCCTGGATCGTGCGGAGTGCCCTGCCTGCCGGGTCGTCCACGAGGGTGACCAGTGGGCCTGAATGCATCTCAAGTTGCCAAGGGAAGTGCTTGGCACAGCGCAGACCTCCACTGCAGGCACTCTGCCGCCTCCCAAGCTGGGCCCCGGGCCTGGTCCTCAGTGCCCCATGAAGGCCCGGCCAGCACCTTCCCTGAGACGTGAGTACGAATCCCTGAGACCCCACCTGAGCCAGCGGCTCCTCAGCCGGGCCTCCTCCCCAAGCTTCAGCGTGTGGCCCAGCTGCTTCTCCAAAAGATGCTTCCTGACGCTGAGGAACCTCCTAAAATCCCTCTGTATACACTCAACTTATATTTAGAGGTTTTGTATGTTCTGGGCACAGTTACTGCTCCTCTGCTCTGAGCACTTTGGTGGTGTGCCGTCTGTCTCTGTGGTGGCATCGAAGTGTTTTTACCAGTGGTCCATGATGACTTTTGTATTTTTGTAGCCGACACCAACAAAGACTCTTAACACTTCTTGTTAGTCTTCTGCAAAATCCGAGCTCGTTTTGAAACCAAATGAACTGACCGTGAGCAGCTTCGAGGACGGACACTCACGAGACCACAACCAGATGTGCTGGTCAAGTGCTGGGACGCGCCACCCTTTTAAATTCCTAAACAGTAAATATCACCCTGTGACTTTTATTTATTTAAGATATTTTTTCTCCTTGCGAAGAGTGGGAGGTGATGCCAGGATTATAAATGCATTTAAGTTAAACTACGTAATGTCTTCTGCACAGTACATATACAGTATTTTTATACCTTAATGCTTATTCTTGATGGCATCTGTCAGATATCAGGAGGGATCAGAAATGGGAGTTGTTTAAAAAGTCCTTTAATTTACCTGATAACCTCACCAGGGAATTAACAAAATCTGAATGTTTTTAATGTCTAGAAAACTACAATTTAAGCTCAAAACGACCTACAGAAATGTAAACCCTCATTTGTCAAAGGCTCTGGGCAAGCCTGTCCTTCACTGTGGGTGGCGCCGCGGGGCTGCAGCCCAGGGTGGCCAGCCTTCCCTCAGGGCAGTTGGGCATGGCTGCCAGAGAGATGGATGGACAGAAGCCCAGGCCAGCCCGACGGTTTGCCCCTCAAGCAGGACTGCCAAGCTCACATGCACAGGCTCCCTGTGGCCCCAGGTCCGGCTCTCCGTCCTCTGTCTGTGTGAGGTTTAAAAATAAAGCTTCCAACATCCAATGTCTCCTAGTTAGCAGCATCACGGGTCTCGCGGCCTGACAGGGTAGCCAAGGAGCTGCTGCCCGGCCACCTCCTCCCCGTGACCCCAGCTCCCGGAGACAGCACGGGCGAGTAAGCCCCTCAATGGTGAAAGGGTTGGGAAGACGTGAGGGACAGCAGCCTGGCCCAAGGCATTGGGGGAGTGGAAAGGTCACCGTAGAGTCCAGGTCCCAGCTGATGGTCATGGGCAAGGGCCTCGGAGGATGGGCTGCATGGTGGGTCTGTGCGCCGCCATCCGTGGGGACCTGCACGCAAGGCTCGGAGGAGGCAGGTGAGACAGGCCCAGGGCTCAGAAGCAGAGACGCGGAAAGAGCCACAGTACCTTCTAGAAGTAAGAGCTGTTGGCGCTCACTGACGTGTGAGGTTTCAGGTGAGGCAGGAGAGGAGAGAAACAGGACCAGAGCCCAAGGGGGTGGTGGCCTTGCTGACCCGAGGACACAAGTGCTGAGAGTAGGGGAGGGCAGCGATGACCCTGTTGGCCTCGCAGAGGGAGTAGACGGGTCCTGGGAGGAGGCAGCTGTCCCTGAGCTTCCACGGGAGCTTCTGGAAGCCGAGGGAGCAGTGTCACAGTCAGGAGGACTGCGGGATGGAGGGCGCGGAAAGGGCAGGCTTTGAAGATCTTCAGTAGAAAGAGACACCACCGAGCAGGTCCCAGGGTCGTGTGTGAGCACAAGGCCAGGCCCTGAGGCTGGAGAGGAGTTGGCAGGGGGTGGGGGGACGACAGACACCAGCTCCCAGGGGCTCTGCTCGCCCTTTGCCAGGAACAGCGGGAGCCAGCTGGCTTCACCCTCCTGACTGAGGCAGAGGAGCAGATGTGGAGACAGGGCCAGGCCGTCCTACCCAGGAAGAGAAGAGGTGGCCCGTGGACTCCCAAGGCCAGGAAAGAGGACCCAGGCCAATAGACCAGAGCTTTATTGAGTCGCAGCTCAAAGGGCAGACAACTCAGGGGACACAGTCCAAGTCCCTACCAGAATCCAGAGCGGCCAGCCTGCTACCACGAGCTGAAGTCCCCAAAACCTCGGCTAGGCTTTTTCTTGGACACGGGGACAGCTGCACTGGTGGAGGGTTCTTCCTCTGCTACCCGTTTCCTGGGGAGAGAAGCAGCAGACGAGAGCTGCCATGTGGGTACCAGGCCCCGACCCCCCGTTCCTTCACCCTGCACCAAGGCGCCCCCAGCAGCCAGCTCATGGCACGATTCTGTGCCCCCGGCTGCCCACCCCCCGGCGGTAAGTGCAGGGAGAGCACCGTGGAGACTCACGTGACCATCGGGCTGATGTACTTGCCCACTCCCCGGCGGTACGTCTGGGGGCCCTGGCTCCCCTGCTGGGGCTGGCTGGTCTTGGCTGTGCTCTCCAGGGCCGCTGCCTCCAGCCGCGTCTTCTTCCGCTCCTCAGCGATCTGTGGCAGGCAGGGGAGTGTCTGGCCTGGAGCCCTTGGGCTGGATGGGGCTCTTGGGGACGGAACGGGCCCCGAGTGCCCCCCTCACCTTGGCGTCGGCTTCCTCGTAGGGGTCCACAAACACTGTGGTGGAGTCCATGCGAATCTCCTCCTGGTGGGGGCGGGAGGGGGTGAGCAGAGCCGGCGCATGCCCCTAGGCCGCCTAGGGCCCGCCCAGTGCCAAGCCTGAGGAGCAGCCCCCATGCTCCCGGGCACATACCTTAGGGCGGTCAGTTTTGGGGTCACTCTCCACATTCTCCATGGCCGTCAGTGTGTCAAAGCCTCCAACAACCCTGCAGCAGAACGATGGGGCACCTGAGAATGTGCCCAGGGCAGGGCACCCCCAAAGGCCATGTTCCCGTGCAGGCCAGGGGCACAGAGTGGCTCCAGAGGGAGCCAGTAGGACCCAGAGATGAGGGGCGGGGTCCCCGGGCCCGGCTGGTGGCCAAGTCCAGCTGCCTGCCAGCTCTGTCAACAAAGATTGATCGGGACCCGTCCACGCTCATAATGTCTGTAGCTGATTTTGTACTACGACCAGAGAGGGGGTGTGACAGAGACCATGAAGCCACAGAGCTGGAAATACCATCTGGGCCTTCACAGGATGGGTGCTGAGCTCCAGACAGGAGACGGGGAGAGAGACAGGATGTGGCCCAGCTTTAAGATTCGGGACCATTCAAGGGAGAGCCTGAGGGTGCAGGCAGGGCGCTGGGTAGGCCACTGGGATGGGTCTTAGGTCCAGAGGGCCCAACTCCCTGCCCACCCCCATCCCCCGCCAGAGACCCCAAGCCCCCACTTGTGCAGAGACACAGACGGGGCAAGTGGAAACAGGCCCAGCCCAGGGGAAGGTAGCCGCCCACCCCCGACACACAGACCTCACGTGCAGCTCCTTACCGCCCGAAGATGGTGTGCTTCTTGTCCAGGTAAGCGCAGGAGCGGAAGGTGATGAAGCTGGGGAAAGAGGGATGGTCAGGGAGAGCCTGCGCCTCCCCATCTGCCTGCCTTGGCCCCCTACCAGGCCACACAGGAAGGGGCAGGGGCTCTGGCTCCAGGCCTGACTGCTGCCAACCTCCTCCTGGGCCGACGCTGTGCCCACAGCCCGTCCCATCAAGAGACTGACTACAGGACCACAGACTGTAGCCCGGAAGAAAGGAGGCGACAAGCAAGAAGGGGTCCGGACACAGACACACGTGGGAAAAAGGGACACAAGGGCCAACCTCAAAAATCTTCATGTTTAATTTGGTATAAAAATGGGCAAATTAGGGGGCTTCCCTGGTGATGCAGTGGTTGAGAATCCATCTGCCAATGCAGGGGACACGGGTTCAAGCCCTGGTCCAGGAGGATCCCACATGCCATGGAGCAACTAAGCCCGTGCGCCACAACTACTGAGCCTGCGCTCTAGAGCCCAGAAGCCACAGCTACTGAAGCCCGCGCACCTAGAGCCCATGCTCCGCAACAACAGAAGCCACCGCACCGCAACAGAGTAGCCCCCGCTCGCGGCAACTAGAGAGAAAGCCCGCATGCAGCAATGAAGACCCAACACAGCCAAAAATAAATAAATAAATAAATTTTTTTTAAAAAAGGGCAAATTAAACTCCCCGAGGACACGGATGTGAGAGCCGGCGGGTTGACTGGGGGGGGGGGGGAGGGCGCTAACCAGTAACTTCAGACATTAGACGGATGTACTTCGTGACGTGAGGCCACAAGGAAAACGTCTAAGTTCCAAACCAGGAGAGAGCGAAAAGAAGGAAACAAAAAGAAATAGAAGAAAAGACTAAGTAGAAACAAATTAAGATCACCAGAAGCAGCACAGTGACTAGAAAGTTAAGTACACACTTAGGACTGTCAGTCTGAATTAAAATAAACCAAGATCTAGGTGTGTGCTGTGTAAGATACCGCTTTAAGACTTCAAGAATCTACAAGGCTAAAAGCAGAAGGATGGAAGCAGACAGAAGGGATACAGGCAGGAAGTGTGGCGATGGTCGCAACATGGAGCAGTCCCCAGAGAAGTGCAGCAATGCCCCCACATCCCCACAGCCCGTGCGGGACCGAGCTCCATCAACACGCGTCAGCAGCCGCCCAGGGAGCGCACGCCTTCCAAGCCCATCGGGCTGCCAGACGTCAAAAATAGCGGAATTGTGCATTCCCGACCTCCGGCCGCCAGGCAGGTCTCCTATTCTCACTTCTAACACAGTTAAAGAAACTCAAGACAGAACGGAATAGACCTAAAGTAACAGGAGGAAAACAGAAAAACAACAAAAGGGAGACCAAGACATAAAGGAAATAAAGTCTAAAATTAGCTCTTTGAAAAGACAAAACACCCGATAATATTAGAAATAAAAAGAGAAAACCGCCACCAATCCAGCAGCGGTTTTACTGGCTATTTAAGCAGAGTTGGAAATAATAAAAAAAGGTGACACCACTGGCCCTGCCAACAGCACACAGAGCACCCACCCAGCCCCGTGGGGCTAAGAAACCTGCCACATAGCCCTGCCAGGATGAGACAGACGGAACCACCAGCCACCAGCAAGCAGTGGGCGGGGGACGCACAGGCCAATAAGAAAGGAGGGAACAGAAACCGGAAGAAGCAATTCGAGGTAGAAACTGAAAATAACTACAGAGAAAGTGAGAGGAGACAACCCTTGTAAGCCCTGAGGAAGAACGGACACAGATGTGGTCAGGGATGGGGAGAGAGGGGGATACATGGACACAGGCTGAGAATCCAGAGATGGGTGAGTCCCATTCCGGCAAAATGTGAATCAGTGCTTGGCCGGAGCAGCAAAGCCCACCTAAGGGTCAGCAGGACGCTCTGCGGCCATCCCTGCCCAGCGAGGTCACAACAGCTGCCTCGCCTCCAAAGCTGCTCAGCTGTCCCCCCAGAAGGCGCCGGCCACCTCACCCCATGGGCAGCGCCCACGGTACTCGGATCCCCATCAAACCAGCACAGATGACCCAGGCTGGCCCCCATGTGGAGGGAGCAGCAGTCTACAATCTTGGCCAGGACAGACACACGGACACAGCAGAAAGGCTGGCCCACAGCCTCCAGGAGAAAAACAGCATATGTTACAGTGACAGACGCTACAGGAAAGCATCTGCAAACTCAGCAACCTCGCCTGAAAAAGTAGGCCCAACAGCAAACCTGATCGGGTGACGCAACAGAGCCCATGTCCTCCCCCGCACAGCCTGATGGTGAGGGGACCATGTTTGCACCAGGAAGGAGAGGACATCCCCTCAAGCTAATCACGTGAATGTCTACGAAGCCTAAGACAGTTTCAGTAAACTATGGAAATATAAGAGAATCTGATAAAGTGCCTAAATAATAGTTTTTCTCTACATGAAAAATAACCACCCAGAATTAGGGGGAAAAAAATCTGTTTACAAAAATATCACAAACTACAAAATCCTTAAGGAATAGCTTTATCCAGGAGGGCAAAGGACCCATGTGAAGAAACTGTAAAATCGCATTAGAAGGTAGAAGACATCCAAGGAGAAGTCAAGGCACATCCTTAGATGGAAACTACCCCACGCACGTCCGTTCTAAAGCACACGTCACAAAAAAATTTTTTTAATTAAATAAATAAGACACATGTCACATCGCTCCAATTAAAATAAAATCCAGATTACAGAATAAGCAATCAAAGCCAAAGCAACGTGCAAACAAATAGTGAGGGTGGACCTCCTGGAACTCACTTGCAGAGCCCAGTGCGGAGCTGGTGTGAGCAGGTGAAGTGTAACGGCGGCGGAATGAACAACAAACAGAGTGAGAGCCAATTCCCACAGGAAGGTGCCGAGTGCCGGGGCACGAGGAGGACGACCCCGAGGCCCTCATGGCTGGCGGGAAGTGCCTTCTCTGTGGGAAGCTCTCTCAGGGGCTCTGCTGGAGGATGAGCAGGGAAATCACTGGGAACAAGTCACCTAAGACGGGACCAGCCATCAGGCAGGAGGACATGTTCCGCCCTTTGGGGGCCCTTCCCCGCTCCACCGGTGCCCGCGATGGCCGGGAGGCCAACTAGCCACCTGACAGACTGTGACGGGCATCCTGACTGTTCAGTTGCCAGCAAGGCTGCCATCCACCTGGGGAGGGGACTGCTCTGAGTGACACCAGCACAACTGGGAGGAAACAAATGCTGTGCCCACGTCACACACAATCACCACGGCGGACAAGCGAGATCCCAAAACCAAAGCCTTCCACAACTTCCCCGAGACACACGCACGATGGCACTGGGGACTCCTTAAGCACAAGTGGAAATGCCACAGGAGAGATGTAAAAACACGTGCCACCTTTCCACGAAATTTTTAAAGTCTGGGAAAATATCTGGAACACAGGTAAAAAATTAAGGATTTTTAAGAATCATAAATCAAGAAACATAGATGAACTCATAAAGCTCCTAGAGAAGGCTGAGCGGGAGAGAAACACTCCACCTGGGGCCCCATTCCACCAAGCCAGGCGGCTCTGCAGGTGAAGCCAGCAAAGGTGCATGCGAGCCGCCACCCAAACCGTCCTCGACGCGCCATCAGTGGCCATGTGGCCCAAACCAACCTCCGCTGGCAGCGTGTGGCTCCTGGGAAAACACTCTCCTCTGCGGCCCTGCAGCTCTGCGCCGCCCCCCACCTTCTACTGACACTTGGACACAGGCCCCCACCCCCCAGACACTTGGACACAGGCCGCCCAAGCCTGTACATCTAGCCTGTTCTCACCCTCTCAGCACCAAAACTTAGACCTACTAGGACCAAGGTGGGTGTCCTGGGCATCTAATGCCAAAATACTCACAGCAGAATTCCAGACCCCTCACTGGGTCTCCGCCCCCCCGGCCGGGCGTCCACATCCGCACCCACATCTGGTGCCGCCCTGGCCTGTCTCAGGCACCACCACGAGGCGTGGGGTTGCCGGCTGACTCGTTTTACGTGCAGGTGCACAGGCCCAGCGCTCAGGCAGGTCTGCGTGTGTCCCCACACTTTCTGGATTGGATTCGGGGTGGGGGGCACAATATGTAGGGCGAGGCTGACGGAGAACCTGCAGGAGCCACCCCCTCCCCGGGCCCCCCCCATGGCCGCCCACTGACTCACAACTGAGACTTGTTGGTGTTGGGCCCCGAGTTGGCCATGCTGAGGACGCCGCGGCCCGTGTGCGAGAGGTTGGGCCGGAACTCGTCTCGGAAGGGCTTTCCCCAGTACGACTCCCCCCCTGGAGGAGGAGGGGGCACGTGGCAGCAAGAATGACCAGGTCCCAGCTGAGCGCAGCTCTTGGGATGCGGTCCAGCTCAAAAACCCGTGCGCAATCCCTGGTGTCCTCATCACCAACTCCCCGCAGGACACCCCCGCAGCCCCAGGGCCCTCAGAGCCCCTGGTTAGGGCCCGGCCCACAGAACAGGGAGTAAAGTGCCAAGGAGACGGGTGGTTCCTGCTCACACCACACAGGGTGAGGGATGAGCTGGCCCGAGCAGCTGGCAGGCTAAGGGGGGCTTTGGAGGGGCAGCGTTCAGGGTGGGGCCCAACCACCGCCCACTGTAGGCCCCTTGGTCTGTGGACAGAGGGGTGCCCCTGGAGGCCCAGAGGGAGGTAACGTGCCCCCAACCCTTCATCTGTGGCTGAAGCCTCACAACCACCTTGCAACAAGGAAACAGCACGTGGGGCTAGCAGAGTCCCCATGTTCCTGCCCTCAGAGCCTGTGGCGCAGCCAGAGTTCCCAGGGGCCCAGCATGAGCACCTACCTGTGCCTGTGCCCGTGGGGTCACCCCCCTGTATCTGCAGGAAGAACCAGCCAGTGAGAAGCCGTGCCCATGAGCCTCAGCCCCCCTGCCCCTCCTCCCCCAGCTGCTCCTGGTGAGAATGGGGCCCTCCTGGTTCACCCCCGAGAGGCCTGGTGTGGCCAGCTGGCCCCCGGGTACACGTGGGTCACTGCAGGACTCCGCACGTGGGCACTGGGAGGCTGGCGCACAGCACTCACCACGAAGTTTCGGATGGACCTGTGGAAGAGGGTGCCATCGTAGTACTGCTTCTTGCAAAGCTTGATGAAGTTCTCACAGGTTTTTGGCGTCTACAAAAAAGGCAAGGTGCTCCCCTGAGGCACATGGCGGCCAGGGAAGGGTACCGAGGACCCCCAGGGCCCTTGGGCAGTGGAAGGCGGCCCCGACAGTGAGGAAGGACTTGCAAGGCCCAGCAGCCAGGCACTCGCAGGCGGCCACCTCACCCACCAGGTCGCAGTGCAGCTCCAGGTTGAGGTCACCCAAGTTGGTGTGCAGCCGCACGTAGCCCTTCTTCTTCACGAACTGGTAGCGCAGCACGTCCTCATCAATGGCGGCTGCAAGCAAAGGCCTGAGCTGCCTACCTGCCTGCCCGCAGCCCGGAGCCCCCAGGGGCATCGGGGAGGGTGGGGCAGCGGGGCCTGCCGGCTCCTCGATGTGGGGAGGGGAGGGCTGGGGGGAGGGAGGCCTGACCAGCCAAGAACAGGAGAGGAAGGGGGCTTGGGGGCAACGCCGAGCTGGGACTTGGGCTGGAGCCTGAGGTGGAGTGGCCCCAGCATGGAGAGGGCCTCCCACCACCAGGGAGCCCCCCCTGGACAGCGGCCCCTATCCCAAGCACAAGCCCACTTTCAAAAGGGGTCGTGCCTGGCCACTCCTGAGTTGCCCACGAGCCCACAAAGCCCAGGTGCAACAGAGCAGCGCTGAGAAGGGCATGGACAAGGGCACCCCACCCTTGGCCGCTGTTAACGCTGGTGTGGGAGACAAAGGCCACTACCTGCTTCATGCGTGGTCTCGGGAACCATGGCAGTGGAAGTGAAGGAGGCGCTGACCTTCCCGGTGGAATAGTGGGCCTGCCAAGAAACCACGGTGGCTCCTCAGCCCGAGGCCACCCACTGCTCAGGCCCTGCTCGGTGCCTCTCCTCCAGGGAGGTGTCCCTGACCACCACCCACAGGCGCCTGCAGGGGCCTACCAAGGGGGACAGGACAGCCCAGCCCACACTGGCCTCTCCCCAAGGGCCTGGGGAGCAGGGGCACAGTGAGCCAGCAGCCCACGGGTCTCTACAGGGCTGAAGGCCCGGCCGCCAAAGCTCTCACGTTAAGTGAAACCCAGAAAAACACAGCAGGCAGAGCCTGGGCATCTCTGGGGTTCAGAGCACCAAGAACTGGAGCTTCTTTTTAAGTGTGTTAAGTCCCTACAGGAAAAAATAAGCCTCAATAAATGATCTTTTTCCTTCTAAACAGAAGGACAAAAAAGTTTCTTCCCGTGAGAAAGAAATACATCAAAATTCTAAGAACCATCGTGTTAGAGGCGGGATTAGATTATAAACAACAAACCTTCTTTGAGCACGCTTAGTTTTCTGGACAGTTCTTTAGGGGGGCACCTCAGAGGTCCCCCCTCCCAGGGTCCCCCAGCCCCAGCTCACCAGGTCCTGCCTGAATGGGGGGGGGGCTTGACAAGCTAGGGTGCAAATCCTGGTGCCCTCACTGCCAACTGGGAGTCCCAGGACCAACCGTGGGCTGTGTGGGACGAGAAGGTAAGGACGGGTGCCAGGTACCCCCAGTACCACTGGCTCCCTCCCCCCAGCAGCTTGGCACCCCTGAGGTTGCTCTGGGCACGGAGTAACCAGCTTTGCAAGGCAGTGACTCTGCCCATACCCCAAGCAGCTGTGGGGCGAGGAACCACTGAAGCTACCGGGCAGCTGTCCACCTAGCACATCTGCTCCAGGCCGGCCACACCTGTCCGTGGCCCCAGGCTTGCCGGGCCAGCCTCAGTGCAGCCCCGTCCCCAGGAGTGCCCCAAGGGGCAAAGAGCGCAGCGGCAAGGCCTGCTGACTACTCACAGCGTTCAGCCTGTCCACCTTTGTCTTCTCGGGGACCTTCATGGTGGCCGCCAGCATCTCGTCCCCTTTGAACTCCTTGTAGAGCTCCTGCAGCGTCTCTCGGGTCTCCGTGTTCGTGTTTTTCAAATAATAAGATGGGTCCTGCTTGGCCTTTTCTTCATCTACAAAACAGCACAGTCGCCCTGAGCAGCCGAGACCCAGCAGCATCCCCAGATGTTGTGACAGGGACAGGAGGCCAGAGCCACTGAGAGCCCCGGCCAGGACACGAGTCTGAAGTGACCAGAGCTTCTGTCACAGTCACAGCCTCCTGGTCACAACAACCCAGGGAGGAGCCAGTGGGGGAAAAAAGAGCGAGGCCACTGCCCTGTCCCCAGACCGGCCCCAGCCCCAGGGGTCACAGCCTCACATCACAGGATCCATGGCCACGGGAAGTCACCACCCTTCATGGGACCTCCATACCCACCCAGCGGCCAGCATGAATGGCCCATCCCTGTGGTGGGACACAATCTCTGAGGAGAAGGCCCATCCAGGCCCCCGAACATGTGGGAAAGGAAGCAACTCTGAGAGACCTAGAGCCAAGTCCTGACGGGGCGGGGGTGGCGGGGAGATGGCCAGGCTGGGCACCATGGTGATGGCCCGGCTGGCACCGACATGTCTGGCTCCTGATGGCAGGCATGGGCCAGGGTGGTCTGCCAACCCCAGCACTGAACAATGGAGCATGGGCTCAGGAAATACAAGACCTGTGAAAACCTGGGTGAGACTCCCAGACGCTCAAGCCCCAGGGAGGTAGGGGCTTCACCCAGGAGCACAGCCTCTTCTACCCAAGTCCCTGGCACCTGGGCCACCCCTGGCCATACATACCTGGGTCTATTATTTTCATGTTATTCTTAACATGAAAGAAGTTGGAGACATTGAATTTGTCCAAACTGGTGGGGTCCTATGGCAAAAAGAACACACGTGGCAGTGAGCCTGGCACCACAGCCAGACCCATCCTGGGCCGTGTGGCTGCTGGGCAGCAAAGGACGGGTGGACCGGCAGAGGGACCAGGCTGGAGGGGAGAGCCTGGGGGCTGCATGGGCACCGCAGGTCAGCAGGGACTGTGCCCTGCACAGGATGACAAGCAGGGGTGGGGCGGGGACAGTGGCACAGATGGCTGCGTCCCCTCCTCCCTGCACACAGCCGAGCACCCTTGGCTGTTAGCGCGGGACGTGAGGTACCCACCTCCAGGCCTCCTACAGGCCGCCCCCCTTCAGCCCAGCTGCTAGACTGACCCCACGGTCTGCCCTGGGGACAGCGAGCCCATCACTGGGGAGAGCCATGCACCGGCCTCTGATTAGAACGGGATGAGCCACACAGGAGGATCCAGACACCCTGATTTTCTAGGGCCGGGTTCTCATGAACTCACTCGGGGCTCTGACACCTACAGGCACATCCTACACTCGCCCCTGGGTCCTGAGCACACCAGCCCCAGCCCTCAGGCCTGCAACGGGGCTGCCGGGACGTGGAGGTGGCTCTGGGGGCAGAGACGAGGGCCCTGACATGGCAGGAGCAGCCTCGGAGGGGAGCGGTGAGCCCCGGACTGAGCAGGCTGCCTGTGTGGAGGCCCAGGGTGACTGAGGGCAGGGAGGGCGGGAGGGGCTCTGCCAATGGCCGGGACAGCTAGGAGCTACACAGGCAGGGGGCTGCGAGACCACTGAGGCAGGAGGAGCCAAGGTCCTGGGTGGGTGGTCCCCGGGCAGGCAGGGAAGGGGACACCCACCTGCAGGGTGATGATGTCCTGCCGAGAGAAGGGCTCGTCGGTCAGCAGGTCTCGGAAGTTCTTGGCCTTGATGTTTAGCTGCTCCACTGCCTAAAGCCAGGAGAAAGTCCGCTGTCACGTTGCCTGCCCCCCAACCTGGCAGCCCAGAGCCCACCCAGAGGTAGGGAAAGGACCAAGGCGGGGGGACAAGTGTGTGCCGCCAAGGGGCGGGGCTTCCTGCGCCCCAGACAGGTTGCTGTTGTCACACATCTGTCTCCCAATGAGCCACCCGAATCCGTGACCCCAGAGCCCCGTGGGGCCAACCTCCAGGGATGGGCGTGAAAAAGGCTTAGGGAGGGTTTCCCGCATCATGGGGCCACAGCCCTGCCATCTGTACCCAGCCCAAAGCAGGCCCAGAGCAGGACGGGTGTGGAAATCGGGACCCCCCCCCAACACTTGATCCCCTGGGGCGGCACTAGGAGCTGAGGTCCCTCCAAGGTCTTTGCCGATGCCTGTGGGGGGGCACCAGGGAACAAGGACCTGCTCAGTGGGCAGAACTGCCCCGGTCCAGTCTGGAGGACACGAGCAGGCCCTGCCATCTCCTGGATGCGCTGGTGGCTCTCAGCCCATAAGCCAGCCTGGGGCTCCCCAAGAACCCACCTCGTGGGCGTAGACGTTGCCAGTGGTCCTGATGGCCACGATGTGGCTGTTGTTGGTGAAGACGGTGAACAGCACAGGGCAGTGGTACTTCCCTGAAGAGGAGGCACACACCCAAGGTCAGAGAGCCAAGGTCAGAGAGCCAAGGTCAGAGAGCCAAGGTCAGAGAGCAGGAGAGGCGGAACCCTGAGTCAGCACGCCCAGGGCGGACCCGAGGGACAGCCCACAGCTCAAGCTCCTCCTCCTAGAGCATGAATTCCCATTCATCCTGCAAGACCCAACCCCTGCAGGGCCTTCCTCAGCAAAGCCAGCCTTGTCAGCCCCCAGCCCACCTGGCCTCCCTCTCCACCTCGGGCATCCGTCACCCTTGCCCACCCACCAGTAGCCCATCCTTCAGACCCTGCCTCATCCCTGTACCTCCTGCATCCCTCGCCTGGGTTACTGCAACCAGCCCCGGCTGCCCTCCGTGCCCTGCCCCACCCCAACACCCGCCCACAGCCAGGGAGCCTGTTCAAGTCCCAGCAAGAACACTACAGAAAGGGGAACACTTAGAGATGAGAGACCTTGAGTTGTATGGACTCTAAAAATCCTGATTTCAAAGCTACAAAAAATAATTACGAGAGCATTCTGGACACTGGCTGGACAGTCAATGATACTATGGCATTCCTACTAACTTTTTAGATGTGACAATGTTATTGTGGTTATTATTTCTTAAATCTTTAGCTTTTAGAGATGCACACTGAAGTATTTAAGTACAAGATAGTATCATGTCAGGGATCTGCTTAAAGTCACCTGAGTAGGTGCAGAATGCGAGCATAGGTAAAATCAGAAACGTTGACAATGGATGGGAGCTGAAGCTGGGGATGGATACGGGGCAGGGAGTCACACACTAATTCTACTTTTTTTTTTTTTGGCCGCACAACGGGATCCTAGTTCCCAGACCAGAGATCAAACCTGGGCCCTCCACAGTGGAAGTGCAGAGTCCCAACCACTGGACTGCCAGGGAAGTCCCTAATTCTCTCTACTTTCACATCCCTGATAATTTCAACTTGGGACTTCCCTGGTGGCACAGTGGTTAAGAATCCGCCTGCCAATGCAAGGGACACAGGTTCGAGCTCTGGTCCAGGAAGATCCCACATGCCGTGAAGCAACTAAGCCCGTGCGCCACAACTAGTGAGCCTGTGCTCTAGAGACTGTGAGCCACAACTACTGAGCCCACATGCCGCAACTACTGAAGCCCACACACCTAGAGCCCATGCTCTGCAACGAGAAGCCACCGCAATGAAGAGTAGCCCCTGCTTGCTGCAACTAGAGAAAGCCCACATGCAGCAATGAAGACCCAATGCAGCCAAGAATAAATTAATTAACAAAAAAAAAATAGAAAGAAAATAAATAATGCTTTCTTTAAAAAAAAAAAAAAGGACTTCCCTGGTGGTACAGTTGTTAAGAATCTGCCTGCCAATGCAGGGGACACGGGTTCAATCCCTGGTCTAGGAAGATCCCACATGCCACGGAGCAACTAAGCCCGTGTGCCACAACTGCTGAGCCTGCACTCTAGAGCCCGTAAGCCACAACTACTAAGCCTGCATGCCACAACTACTGATGCCCACGCGCCTAGAGCCCATGCTCTGCAACAAGAGAAGCCCAAACACTGCAACGAAGAGTGGCCCCTGCTCGCTGCAACTAGAGAAAGCCCACGTGCAGCAACGAAGACCCAACACAGCCAAAAATAAATTAATTTAAAAAAAAAATTTCAACTAAAAGACAAAACAAAGCCAAAAAAAGGCAATCTCTAGATCAAAGCTAGTAAAATTTTTTTTTTTTAAGTAAAAATTTTAAAAAAGGCAAAGTTAGGTCAGATCTTTCTTGCTGGAATCTCTGAGTTCTCCCATGGCCACCCCAGCCCCGCATGACTGCTCTGCACCCCATCCCACCTGACTCTGGACCACAGACCCTGCTTCCCGCTCCGCTCACCCTGATGCAGCAACACTGGACTCCTGGCTGTGCCTCGGGGCCTTTGCACAGACTGAGCCCGCTGCCCGGAATGGTCTCGCCACATCCCCACAGGGCTCCCCTCCCCTGCCCTTCCTCCTCCTCCCCCCAGATTTATACTCAAACCCTGTCAGCGAGTCGTCCTGTGACCCTCTCTCACCCTGCTTTACCTCTGACCTGTTACATGCAGCACCTGACGCACTACAAGTGATCTCATTTCCAATTTCCTCCCTCTTGTTCCGAGAGAGACCCGGCCTGTCTTGGTCTCCACACACAGCAGGCGCTCAGTAAACACTTGTGAAGGAGACACACCGAGGGCCTCCCCGAATCACCCGCTCTCAGAGCAGGGAGCCACAAGGCACCCAGGGACCATCCATGGGGTGCTGTGCTCCTGGTCACCAAGGCCTGCTTGCTCGTTCACTGCCATCTGGCACCTGCTGGGAGCCAGGCCAGCCTCAGCTGCTCCAGCATCTCCCGGAACACACCTGCCCAGTGAGCCCTAACACCGACCTCAACCACGGCACCCGCACGCGCCCAGTGCACGGCGCCAGGCCCACAGAGAACCGAGAACAAGGTGGGTGTCCATGGAGGTCGCCTCGGCGCAGGCATCTGGCCAATGAGAACAATGGAGGGTGTGGAGGAGTGCAGAGCAGGACCCCAGGCCTGGACTGGGGCTTTATGACCAGTGCCAAGTGGAAACCAGTCCAAGAGCCACCTGGCAAATCCGGCAGACCCCCCCACACCCACTGCCCGGCCGCCCGCCCTGGGCCACAGCCTGAGCAGCTTGTCTCCAGCGATGACTGGACCAGAGCCACGGCCAGGCAGGGCCTGTCTCCCGTGGGGCCCAGCTGGACCCATAAAGGCCACCGGAGGCCCACACGGCCCAAGTGCCCTTGTGGGAAGAAGTGCCCCAAGCCGGAGGTTTCACTCCCACCCCAGCTTCAAACTATCTGGACCTGGGCTTCCCTGGTGGCGCAGTGGCTGAGAGTCTGCCTGCCGATGCAGGGGACACGGGTTCGTGCCCCGGTCCGGGAAGATCCCACGTGCCACGGAGCAGCTGGGCCCGTGAGCTATGGCCGCTGAGCCTGCGCGTCCGGAGCCTGTGCTCCACAACGGGAGAGGCCACAACAGTGAGAGGCCCGCATACCGCAAAAAAAACAACAAAAAAACAACTATCTGGACCTTTAAGAAAAAATTATTAGCCTTTGAGAAATCAAAAGCAAGCCTCCAGCCTGATCAGAAAGGAACAAAAACTTGGTGAGAGGCGGGGGCCTCGGGTCCTGCGGGCCAATCCTAGAACTGGCTGTAAAGGATTACTCACCTTCACTGTTCTTTGCAAAGTTCAGCTTGATCAGGGACCTCCCGTCCAATTTCTGAAAAAAGCGTAATTAATAATAACAAGTAACTCACATGAAAAAGGGCAGAGGCATCCGAACAAACTTTTTGGCCAAATCAGTATCTCCTCAGCTGGGCAGTGCGGATCCAGGCATTTGCCCTGCTGTTCTGCTGTGTGACGACCCAAGAAACACCAGGCACTACAACGTGGGGGAAGAGGAGTCAATACACACAAATGCCAAGAGGGGATGGGACGGGATCCTTTCTCAAAACTTCTGGACTTCGTCTGCGGCTCACCTCTTCTCCAGGAACCTGGACAGTAAAGCAAAGTCCAGCAGCTGGAGGAAAGCCGCCCAGTGGGGAGGCCTCTGTCAGAGGAAGCGAGGGGGCAGCGGGGAGACCCTGGATGGGGAGGCACAGGCCCTGCAGCAACCAAGGGCCAGCTCCAAGGGCCACCCAGAGGAGACGCCGGGCATCCTTCCGCCAGGGCTGAACCCGGTTCTGCCCCACGTCCTCCCTCCCCTGGCACAGTCCCCACACCCAGCCCAGTGCCCGCTCCCCGAGTCACCTCGGCCCTGCCTTCGTTAGCCAACCACCCCCCTACACACACCTATGGTCAGATGGTGGGTGCCCGCCCCAGGCACAGCCAACCCAGGGAGACCCACACGCAGCACCCTCCTCCTGGGGTCCCGGGAGGTGACAGGAGCTCACAGCAGCTGACACCACAGGGACGGTCCTCAGGGCCGCGGCCGCGGGGACTCTGGGCACAGGCCGCGAGGGGCACGAGCCCCACTTGAGGACGCACCACAGACTCCCTGACAGGACACCCGCAGCAGAGGTGATGGCTGGGGGCAGGCGATTGGCATGCTGTGGGGCTGGGGAGCACCCGGGGAGCAGCTGGCCACAGTAACCGAGGAGACTGAGGACAGGTGGGCCAGAGGTGGACCAGGAAACACGGGGGGCTGGGGGGTGATGGCAAAGCACAGCCCCCATCGACAGAGGAGCGAGCCCCAGCCTCGACACAGCCGCAGCCTGATCCCAGGGGTGGCAGTGCATCCCGAAAACAAAGCCACCGCCCAGGGCCCCAGAGTACACATCCACCTCCAGAACACAGGTAACAAGCGCACAGCTGAGCAAAGACTGAACCCACAACACTTCACACGTCCAAGGCTGGTGACCAGGACCCTGCCCATACCCCTCGTCCGCCTCCCTCCCTCCCCCTAGCCTCACCACACCCGTGTCCTCTTGGGCCTCCCCAAAGACGATGACAATGACAGCCTCCACTCTCCACAGGGCACCCAGGGTCTGTCACAGAGCTGACCAGGCCTCATCCTGGCAGACAGGGCTCTGACCACCACCCAGCCCAGCTCCCAGCTCCGCAGTGCCAGTCACCACACTGCCCGCCACTCCCCCAACGCAGGCCGGACTTCTATCAGGCTGACGCCCTGGGGGAGCCAACCTGGCTTCCAGGGTCTGCAGAAGGCCCCACCCTCCCTGCTCGCCCACCTCTAGCCCCTGCACTGCACCTCCTCAGCCTGCACCCTAGCCCAGGCTCACCCAGCACCTCTTGCCCAGAAAGTACACGGCCCCTGCTGCCTCCCTGCTTCCACCCTCACCTCCCTGAGGTCTGGTCCCGACACAGCAGCCAGAGCCAGGCTTCCAAACAGGCCAGATCACAGCTCGCTACGGCTTAACCCATCTGGCCTCCAGCCTGTCCAGAACGAAGCCAGGCTCCCTCCAGGGCTGGCAAGACCCCCCCGATGTAACTCAGACTATCTGCCACCATCTCCCCTCGTGACCAGGTCACAGCTTCCATGGCACTGCTCCACAGACGTCCCCAGGTCCCCCATCCTCCTCTGGTCAGCATCCCGGCCCACTCTGCTCACAGCGCCAGGCCCCATGCTGCACAGCTCACCCCTTTCTGTGAGTGAATGGGTGCAAACGAATAAATGTGGCAGAGAGAAGGCGAGCTGAGAAGTGAACAGAGAGAAAGCAGCAGGAGGAACGAAAAGTGGGCGCCCTGGGGCTTTACAACAAGGCATGCGGAGGGGCGGGGGGTGTCCAGCAGGGAAGTATGCTGGAACTCGACTCCAGATTCTCTCCTGCACCTGTACGTGTGACACATCAACAGCTGCTTAACCTAACTCTCCACAGAGTACACGTTACAGAACGCTGGTGCCCACAAGCTACATCACCCAAAGAGACAGGTGACTCCTAGAGCTGCCGAGGGTCTAGGACGCGCATCTCCCCTGACACGCCGCTGATGAGAGTCTGGAACAGTGTGACTCCTCCAGGGGGCAACTTGCCAGGAGCTACCAAGCCGAAAACGCAGCCCTCAGCATCCAGCAGTCCCAGGGGTACACTGGGATGTGTGTCCACCATCTGCAAGAGCAGAACTCCAAATGCCCCCCCGAACTGTGCCACCACAGGAGGGTGCACACAGCCACCACGGACGCAAGCAGGGCCGGACGCACCGACACCTCGGGGGTGGAAGCAAGGGGCAGTGGGGTCACCGATCGACTGCGTCCATGACCGAGGTAAGACAGATGCCTGCACACGTGCACACAAGTGGGGAACACTCCAGAAAGGACCGGTGTGGGTCCTCCACCACGTTCCTGTACCTGACACCTGGTGTTCACCGGCATCACCAAAGCTCCTGCACAGCCACCTACCTCTCCGTTGCTGGGGTTGGTCCCATACTTCTTAAGCCAAGGGACAATGTTCCTGAAGGGAAGAGGACAGTGCGCGTCAGCGGGAGGGCGGGTGCAGCCTGGCAACAGGGCCACAGTGCAGGGGGTCTGCCTCCAGGGGGAGCTGGGAAGGGGCTACACTCCACTTCACTTTTTGCCTCATCAGAGGAAATGGGGGAATATTTCTGGCTACATGGGCTTCAAAGTACGTTCAGGGTTTTTACTCTAGTTATGCATAAACATGGATAAATGACATTAATAGAAAAAGACGTACATACAATGAGATACTGGGCCAGCATCAAAAATCACACTTCCAGAGAATTCTGAATGACATAGGGGACAAAAGCTCTCATCTGAGTGAAAAATGGATCCTGAACTATCTTCAACAGTATGATCTCTAACAGGTTACCACAAATACACTCCCAGAAAAAGAGCACTACAGATATTGACAGTGCTTTCCCTGGACAATGCAATTATGAACAATTTTCCCTTTTCCTTTGAAGTATTTTGCAAATCTTCTAAACTGAATCTGAACTATGAGACAATTACAGAAGCTGGCTTACATTGGGACATAAAACTGAGCATAAAGCTTCAAAGGGAAGGACTAGAAAAGTATGCGCCTCAACTATGGCTCTGCCTTCATGAAGTGAACGCTCCTCAGCTCATTAACACTCTAACAGGTACAGGGTGCGAATTAGTGCACTAGGGAACCCCACACAGGGGAGAGGCCAACGCCCCTCCAGGCAGAGGTCACAGCAGCACTGCCACCTCATGCCTGAGGCCCATCCAGGGCTCCCAAGGCTGCGGGGACCTCGGTGTGTCCAGGCTCAGCACTGCGTGGAGCCCAAACACTCCAGCTGGCCCCACAGCCCCTTCCTGAGTGGGTGTCAACAATCTCACCACATCTGTTAGTCAGAAGTCAAGGGAAAACTCACAGCAAGTCAAAGACGACGCCGTCGGGGGTGCAGACCGGGTAGACAAAGGGCTGTAGAGAGAGACTGAGGAAGGACAGGGTCACTGCTGAGCACTGCCCCCTCCCATCCCAGGAGACTCTGGGGGCGGGGGGTTACCATGGTCTGGAGGAGCCCTGCCTGCTCCTGGCTGCACAGCAGGCTCCGTTCCCGCCATATTTCCAAGGAGTGGGTAAGTGACTCAGACAAGACCTGACCCCCGGGAGCCCTGGGTAAGTACCAGTGCAGGGATATGGGTGTCGAAGGCCACTTCCTGCCTCGTGGAGGGTCCACTTAGGAAAAGCAGAGCCCACAGGTGGAGGAGGATGGTATCCAGTGGACTTCCTTGAGCCAATAACCTTTTCTTCTGGCATGGGGTCTCCATCACTAGTCACCAAGAGCCCTGGCTGACCTGGCTTGTTTGTACATCAGTCACCTACGAGTTTGGTCAGCACAGGTCAGGCACCAGGATCTGGACAGCCTGGAGGCATTGGGGTCACCTCCCTGGATGCTGCCCCAGGGAGCCCTTGTGGGGAGTCCTCACCACCGCCCCATCTGGCCCAACCTTCTACTCTAACCCAGTAGTACTGCTGGGGATGGACCAGAGCAGGACCCAACAACAAGGCAAGCTCCAAACAGCAAGACAGTGAACATGTGTCTTCTCCTAACGGGGCCTGAAGGGCACATTCTCAAAGCATGTGTTACCCAGAACCCAAGGTAGTTACAAAATGGGCGAGACACAGAGCAGAGACCTCTTGGAAGAACTGGGAACCAAAGATTTCCATAGAACCAATTTACAAGACTACATTTCCAGGAGGCTGATGACAAAACTGGTGGCGGTGGTGAGAAATGCAGCTGATGATGTCTGGGCCTCACTTGTTTATACTTCCTGAGCAAGTGAAACAGGTGAAGCCCTCACTCACCATGCGGGAAGCCTCCTGGAAGCCCTGGGCAGATTCAGCGGCTGCACCCCCAGCCTCCTCTGCCCCCTCACTGCCCTGTGGTATTGGCTGACCTGCCTCACCACAGTTCTGGGATCACCAGGAGAGCTTGGTCAGCTCTCAAGGCTCACCCTGACCTATGGAATCAGAACTTTGGTCGGAGGGAGAGGAGGGCAAGATGGGGAGAATGCTGTGTAGACACGTGTGTCCAGGACAGAGCCGACCACTGCTCAAACTTGGGGAAACTCAAGCCCATGGAGACCAGACCTGCCCACTCCCCCAAGCCCCAATGTGTTGGGGTTCATTAGTCTAACGAGGGTGGGAAGAGACATCCAAGTGGCTGTGCAGCTGGGTCCCTCCCCGCCCCTACAGTGACCTGCATTCTCAGGGAAGGGGGAGGGGCCACAGTATCATGACTATCGGGGCTGCTGTTACTACTCAGACTCTGGACCAAAAGGAAAGCGTGAAAGCCCTGGGCTCAGAGTCAGACCACTTCCTGGATGGGATACCTGGGAGAGGGAGCTCACTCTTCGAAGCACTGATTCTCTCAACTGTAAGGCAGGCTTGATGACAGAGCCTACCTACCTCTGTAGGTAAGAACAAGGTTAAAAGACAATGCACATAAATGGAGACACAGAACAAGCAGAAAACCATCATCATTTCTTTCCATTGCTGGGACCCTTCTTCCAGTCCATGCAAGATCCGGGTGGGAGAATGCAGACAGAAGCTACACCTGCATCTCCAGGGATCAGATTCACTGTCAAACAGTTGAGTACCCGAGAACAATCACGAGGGAAAGGTTAAACTCTCCAAACTCTTACCTGCAGTGGTCAAAAGGTAGACGACGAAAATCTGTTTGTGCGATATCTGTGTAAAATGAAAATAAAGGACAGAAAACTTACTCTGTAAAAAATTTCACATATGTGCTCTATCAACAAGTCAACTACGTTTTAAGAAAAAGTGCATGTAAGTCACGGGGATGAAATGCACAGCATGGGGACTGTAGTCAATGATACCTTAAAAATTGTGTGTGGGGCTTCCCTGGTGGCTCAGTGGTTAAGAATCTACCTACCAATGCAGGGGAAACGGGTTAGAGGCCTTATCCAGGAAGATCCCACATGCCGTGGAGCAATGAAGCCCGTGCATCACAACTACTGAGCCTGCGCTCTACAGCCGGCGAGCCACAATTACTGAGCTTGTGTGCCACAACTACTGAAGCCCGTGCACCTAGAGTCTGTGCTCCTCAACAAGAGAAGCCACGGCAATGAGAAGCCCACGCACTGAAACAAAGAATAGCCCCCGCTCGCCGCAACTAGAAAAAGCCCACGTGCAGCAACAAAGACCCAACACAGTCAAAAATAAATAAATAAATTTTAATAAATAAATAATAATAATAATCGTGTGTCGTGACAGACGGTAACTAGACCTATTTTGGGTTTTGTTTTGCAACGCACAGAAATATCAGACCACTGCATTGTGCACCTGGAAGTCACTCAGTGTTACAGGTCAACAATACATCGATAAAAAAATAAAAACCTACTAAGATTAAAAAAAAAAGGAAAAAAACAAAAGAAAATGCTAATGTAAATTACCCAGTGCAAAAATTGCTGTGTACTAAAACCTTTCTCTAGACAGAACCAAAACGTGGGGTACACCAAGAAAGAGCTTAGAGGAAAAAGTACATACTGCAGGTGGGTTTCTGCCACAACCCTAACTAACATCCCTGCTGTGGGTCTCCTTCTTGGCTTTGCTTTCCAAGAGGCTGGGCCAGTTTTGCTCCCACCAGTGACCGTGACAGTGCTCTTTTGACTGCAGCCTTGATAGCTTTAGGTATTATTGTTCTTTGCATTCTTTTTTTTTTTAATTTATTTATTTTTGGCTGCACTGGGTCTTTGTTGCTGCACACGGGCTTTCTCTAGTTGAAGCGAGCAGGGGCTACTCTTCGTTGCAGTAAGCAGGCTTCTCATAGTGGTGGCTTGTCTTTGTTGCAGAACACAGGCTCTAGGCACGTGGGCTTCGTGGGCTCTAGAGCACAGGCTCAGTAGTTGTGGCACACAGGCTTAGTTGCTCCACGGCATGTGGGATCTTCCTGGACCAGGGCTCGAACCCATGTCCCTTGCATTGGCAGGCGGATTCTTAACCACTGTGCCACCAAGGAAGTCCCCGTTTTTTGTATTCTTTATTAACTTGACAGAGAAAACATTATTGTAACCTATGTTAAAAAAAAATCACCACCAATATTAAACATTTTCTCCTATGTTTAGTGTATTTCCTCTTTTGTGAACTGTGTCCTCAACCCATTTGTCTACTATAGTTTCCATGTTCTTAGTAACTGTTCATTTTTACACTTACTGCATTGTGAAGTCATCATTCCTTAATTATACCCACACACACACCAAAAGGAACAGAAGGATTTCATGCCTTACCTGGTTTCTTGCCACCATAGAAGTGAGTGTATTCAGCACAGGTAATGTACCTGGAGAGAGAGATAATCTTACTATCACCTCTTTATAAAAAGAATAGTCGCTGGAAGTAAGAAGTTGATAACCGAAATCATTTCACTCATTTGGAAAATGCTTTTTTAACACGTACTATGTGTCAGGCACATAGTGAAAAACACAACAGAACACGAGGATACACAAACTCGTAAGCAAACCCAAACGGTCCTGCTCCAAATAGCAGGGTTAACAATGAGAAGCAGCTGGCCACACGAAGACCTGGGGAGAGAGCTTTCAGGGGCAGAGGGACCAAGCCGACTAATCACGTATAAAAGCCCTGAGGCAAGGGCTTCCCAGGTGGCGCAGTGGTTGAGAGTTCCTCTGCCGACGCAGGGGACACAGATTCGTGCCCCGGTCCGGGGGAACCCCACATGCCGCGGAGCGGCTGGGCCCGTGAGCCATGGCCGCTGAGCCTGCGCGTCCGGAGCCTGTGCTCTGCAACAGGAGGGGCCGCAGCAGTGAGAGGCCCACGTACCGCAAAAAAAAAAAAAAAAAGCCCTGAGGCAAGAAAAGCTAGTGTGTTCCCAAAGAAGGGCAAAGCCACTGAAAAAGAGTGCACATGGGGGCACGGGGCCACTGATCATGGAAACACAGGTGGTGGTCGTATCACAAGGGGCCTCAGGGGCCGTGGGAGGACTCTGGATTTGCTTCAGGCGGGATGAAAGGACCCTGATCCAGCATAAGTCCTTAAAGCATCACTCTGGCTGCTCTGTGCAGAGGGTCAAGCAATAGGCAGCAGAAAACCAATCTGAAGGCGACTACAAAGGTCCAAGAAGGAGCTGGCATCAACTCCACCTGCGGGAGGACTGGTGGACGAGTGAGAAGCGGTCAATTCCTGGAAGAGCCAGCAGGACGTACTGATGGACAGGAGGCAGAGGGAGCTAAGGGAAACTCCCAGGCTTCTGACCCTAGCGAACAGAGAGCGGTGTGACCACTGAGATGGGAAAATGGGGGAGGAACAGGCTCAGGTGCTGAAAATCAAGAGTTGCTTCCCTGTGGGGCACACTGAATTCGAGAAGCCCATCGGATCTCCAAGTGGAGGTGTCCTAAGCAAGACTGGAGAGATCCCCCCGGGGCAGGATGTAAATGGAGGGGAAGCCTGGGGTAGGAGACGTAGGAGGTCAGGAACGGGGGGAGGAGGATCCAGTAGAAGAGACCAACAAAGACAGACCCCTGAGGAAGTCTGAAAACAAAGAGTGTGGTGTCCCAGGCACCGTACAAGGGCTTCAGAGGGAGAGAGGCGGTCAGCCGCGTCCTACGCTGCTGAGAAGCCCAACAAAACGAGGACTGAGAACTCACTGACCCCCGGATGCAGACGCACGGAAGTTACAGGATCACAAGAGCAGTGCAGCGGGCAGAGCCCGACTGGAGTGGTTTCAAAGGGAAAGCAGAAAACAGCCGGTCGACACAGATGTTTCTCTTCTTGTCATAAAAAAAATCAAAGAAACTCGGTGGCAGCTGGTGGTGCCAGGTGGGTTTGTTTTAACTGGAAGGTGCTGTAGCCCGTTAGCAGGCTGGGGAGCGAGAACCGCGCCCGGGGAAAGCCTGCGGGGTCAGAGCTGGCGAGTGGAGGGGCCGAGGGGACGGGACGCCGAGAGACCCGCGCCTGAGGGAGCCGCCCCGCCGGGGGACGGCGGAGGCTCCCGGGGAAGTGACGTCGAGAGGGACTCGGAGCGCCGCAGAGTGCGGACAGGCCCGCTCCCGGCGGCGGCTCAACTTACATCTTGTCCTTCTGGTGCTGTCGCTTCCCCATGGCGGCGGCGGCGGCAGGACCAGCGAGCGAGGAAAAACAACGGCCCACAACTCACACCGCGCCCTCTCGGCCGAGCTCCGTAACTACTTCCGGGTCTCTCGGACCCGCCCCGGAAGCGGGCGCTGGGCACGCCGGGAATTGTGGCTCCTGGTGCCCAAGTGAATGGCCGGCCGGCGCAGGCGGCTCCCTGGGTCCTTGGGCTGAGCTCGCGGTTGGCTCGGCCACGTCGGGGCTGAGCTGCCTCCGCCTCGAAACCCCGTCTTCCCGGGGGCCTCTAGCTGGACCACCTCGCCCGCCCGGCCCCGGCTCAACGCCATCCCCGCCCAAACCCGCCCTGGATTCTCAGGTCTTACGCCTGGAGCCCCAAGAACCCCCAGCCTCGGCCCCATCACCGCTCCCCGCCAGGCCGAAACCGCCAAAGCGACGTACACATTCGCTGCCTGCCCACTTACCGCCCATTTGGTCCCCACCGCCTGCAGGCCCCTCTCCTGGGCGGCCCAGGGGCCGGTGGCCATGAAGCCTGAAGGTCCAAAGCCCTGATGATCCCTTCGGTCTCTTCTGACTGACCCTTCCCTCGGCTGGACCACCACGTTTGTATGCCCCGGCCGAGCCCTGGACCTCCCTCTACACTCAAGCACTGGGTGACCTTGCCCAGGCTCATGGCTTTAAACACCTGTATCCCTTATCTCCGAACACGAAATGGCCAGCACTTCTGCCTTCTGACCTCTACCTGGGCACCGACTGAACTCAAATTTAACATGTCTGGTAAAAGCATAATTCTCCACCCACTTCTACCCCTAGTGTCCACTCTCCTCAAGGTACCACTGTCCACCCAGTCACCCCATACATCTCGATCGCAGCTCCCACAAGGGCTTATCACAATTTGTAATCCTGTACTAATTTATCTGTACTAGCTTACCACACACACATGGATGGGACATAAGCTCCTTAAGGGCCAGGACCCCAACTGCTTGGTCTATTATCTCCAGTCGCAAGCAAGGTGCAGGGCATCCACAGGGCTCAACTGACATCTGCTAATGGCCAGCATCATTGGGCACTTTGTGAGGACTCATGTCTCACATGCAGGTTTGATTCTAAAGTCAGCGTGGCAGGTAATCAGAGTCACGTGTCTTTGAAACGCTCTGAAACTCCTTAGGGAGGTGCCAAATTGGAAACTGACACGCCAGCTCATTTTCCTCCCAGGAGGGAACAGACCACTGTTTCTAAACTTGCACCCAGATAAGCCTTGTGTTTAGGAGCCAGGTGTAGCAAAAACTGGTAGTCTTGCTACTCAGTGGGGTCAAGTGAGGCACAACGGGTCCACAGAGTTACCGCAGGGAGGGGCAGCACACTCCCCGCACTCAACACTCTTT